ATGTCTTTTTTATTAAAATTCTTCCGATCCGATGTTCGCCGATGAAATTTTGTCATCTTTTTCAGTACTACCGAACATTACGAGGCTCCTATCAAATAAGCAATGGCTAGTTTCTCCCATATCCATACTAATTCAGCGTCACTGCCGTCCCGCACAAAATTTAATGCTATATTAACTCTGACCTCAAGCTGCGGATGGAGGAGACAGCCTCCAGATATGGAAGGCAGCTGCGAATATACTGAATATGCAGTTGCGGACAGCCGACAAAGGGTGGTCTTCCAGTTTGGGGTTGGGCGTGGGGCTAACAATTTGCAGTAAAAATAAGTTTGTTACGGAATTTTACACAAGGCCCGGACTTTGACAGATTTTTTTTGGATAAATGACCTAAAAAGTAAATGGAAAATGGATAAAACAGATCTTAGAGAAACAGGATGGGATGACACGGACTGGATTGATCTGGCTTAGGATAGGGATAGGCTCTTGTGAACCCGGTAATAAACCTTCACGTTCCATAAAATGTTGGGACATTCTTGGGTGGCTGCACAACTGGCGACTCAGCTCTATGGAGTTAGTTGGTTGGTTAGATGTCAACTTCGAAACTGATGCTATTACTGCCTTTACTAGTACAACACTCAAAACAAAACGCACATAGAAAATGCCACCATCACTTAAAATATTATCAACTGTCACAATGAAGTTGGAAAAACCACAGACACTCCACAGTTTACTTCCTCGTACACACATAGGGGATAGAGTACTTGTAGAGCTTACATCTACACAAGGCAGTGGAAGGGCTATTTGCGGACCGGACAGGCTTTACAGACAACGCACAAGTTATTTTAATGGGATGTGGGGGAGGCCTTCCCTGTGAGAAAATGGAGCTCCAAAGAAATCCACTTTACACATACAAAACTAGAGCTAGTATAAAAGAAAACACACTTTCAACGTTTTATAGAAACCGAAGTATTCTTGATATAGCCAAAATACTGGCATGGTTTTTCAGTATATGTCTAAGTTTGTAGGACTAAGTTACAAATGTTCTATGTGTGAGCCTTTTGTCACACGGCAGATATCAATACGATAATCCAATTGGTTCCAAACCCACCGGAGCATGTCCTCGTCAAGATGCGTTGCTTTAGAGCGTTTAAACTTACAGGAAGTGGAGGAACAAAAACTCTGTCTTTGATATATCCCCACAAGAAAATATCAGTGGGACTAAGATCGAAATTCTTGGTGGTCATCTTATCAGTGCCATGCTCTGATCTGTTGAGCGGTATTCAGAACCAACTGGGTTATCGTGAGGTGTTACAAAAGTCACACATATAGAACATTTGTAACTTAGTCATACAAACTTAAAGATATATACTAAATTCCATATAAGTATTTTGACTATATCAACAGTACTTTGGTTGCTATAAAACGTTGAGTGTCTATTTCTTTTATACTAACCATGTATTTCGGGATTTACGTCAAACCAAGAACGCGTTCTTTCATTTCTGCTTCAGACATTAACTGAAATTAACAACTCACAGGACTAACAAAACTTACGTAATTAAATAAATTATATTTGCAACATTAACTAAATACGCTAGTTTCTGTGTTTCGATGAGACCTTGGTGGTGACGTGGGTCCCTCGGACAACATCCGACACGGCAAGACAGCCTGCACACCTCGGATGGAGTGAACAGTTTATTTTGTCAGGTGGCATCGCTTTTAACAGCAGCTTTTCATTAATTCCAAAGGTCAGCTGTCACAAGTTGTTAGATCCAGTCAGAGAGCGCACATGCGCCTGACATGCCAATACGACCAGCAACGGTACTCACTTGGAAATAAAAACAATGGACGTCAATGTACTTTCTAGACACACTGCACATAGTCCTCTTCGCATTTTGCATACCCAGTCGCAAGCAGCATCGAGCTGCTCTTTCAAAGCCACTTCCCTGTCTGAACGTTGTTGTATAGGTAGAACGACCCGAGGGAAGACGCACAGCCGTTGATTCAACAACAGTTGAACGAAAATATTGAACTGCAATGAATACGACGAAAACAGATGATCTAAGAGTTCCTTAAATTTTGAATATTCACGAAAATCATTAACTCGAGAGAGGCAATTGCATTTGTACAAGGCATGTAGTTGTGGCGAGAGAAATTTGAAATAAATTGAAGTTTTGTTGTCACTGTTGCATCAAGCCATTCGGGGAAGCACACTGCACAGACCTTCCCAGATTCATTCACTCACATGTCATGTGAATGAAATAATCACAGTTCAAGTTTTGTGGTCTTTATTAAAGTAGCGCCTATAACAATTTCAATAAGCGAAGCTAGTTAATACAATGACGTCACACGTATACTCACTGACCATTTATCAAGAAGAAACACATTCAAACCATAAATCCCTACAATTTTCTTTCACGAATTTTACTAATTAATAATATAAAATACCGAAGTTAATTATCCAACATTATAATAAGGTATGTGGTGAAACTCACTTCGCTTGAATTTTACATACCAAAATCGTGAAGATATTTTTTAATTTCTTGAATCGACGAAGATCCTAATGAAACGTAAGACATGATAAATTTTCTGCATTAGCCCATCCGCTTATATATACAACAGCTAATAAGTGTTAATTTCCATCCTGGTGGCTTAAATTTTAGAAACTGGTCATAACTGCACCTTCTTGACACAAACATTTTCACTGTGATGTCACAATATCAGGATACTTTGCTGGTCGGGCTCTAATGAATATGGTGAAACAGACAAGTGTGTTTGATAACAGTTTACTGTTCATATTCTCTCTTTTGGAAAGCTAATGAATGTAGGGTGTGAAGCCAAATCAGTAAGAACTGGTTCACATAAATTCTCTTCTTAGGGCGGCGCTCCGTCAGCAAAGGCATATCATTTCGACAATCACGGTATAAATTCCGTACATACAATGAATGCCGACCGAAGACTTTCATTTTCCTGAGTCGAGTAACCTTTTCTCTCCTGTTTCAACGACTGAAAATTTGTAGTTAGGCTTCGTTTTCTGGAAACAAAAGCGCTTGTAAACAACATGTTTAAGGCCGTAACTTTACTGGTATGTACGGCCTATTGTGTGTATAACGCAACTTCCGTCGAACTACTTTTTATTATCTGTGTTCAAACACTGAATTCAATTGCCTAACATGATACTGAATATTAATTTCGTAACGAGTACACAAAACGATACGGATTACAAACGCTTTCTTCAGCACTTGCTACATCTGTAAAGTGGAATAACACGAACGAGAGATTAAGGAATGAGCTGTCTGTAAAACAGGACGAAGGACTATGGACACAAACATGTTATGGTCTATCTATAGTCTATGGAACAATCAATAACACTGATTCACACTTTAACATCACACAGCTGTCGTTATGTGCATAAGATGTTAAATAAAACTGTTAAAATATTACAATATTAAAATATATATGCATTATTATAGTCCTACATGTTTCTGCCATCTTCAGGCAACACTTATGCGAGGAATCCTAGTGAACTGCACAATAATCGAATGTAACTCATTTTTTTAGGTTTTCCTCTTCATATCTTTTTATGTAGTGCGGCTGTTTCTGTATTTTGCTGGTGTGCTCTTGATTGTATGTTCCTAGTGTGCAAAGACTATGGACTACGAACATAAACATGTTTTGGATACATAAACAATCGTATCATGCGAATATCATCATCCTGCAGCCACGTTCTCAATTCCGGATATGTGTACTATATAGTTCCATAGAAAAAATGTAAACATAATCCAAAAACAACTGCAATATGCAGTCTGATCATTCATATGCATCACAATAGTTGAAGTCAGTAAGCAAACTGAGAATGTTTCTATCGTGCGGTTGCCACCATTTTAACCTTCAAGGGACATAAAAGTTCGCTGGGAAATGCCGATGTCTGGTTTGCAATCCGAAAACGAATGCATAAAAAAAATACGACCATTAACCAAAATAAATCGTTCATTCTACTATTCGTAAGACACGCGGTTACCGAAGAGAGGTACATAAAATCCATTGCACAAAATCATAATCACGAAAGAAACGTACGTGTTTGATATATATAACAATGTCAGAATGCCACAGAAACACTTTCAAAATTTCACCGAACTAACCTGTTTGCAAACACGTCATGTTTAACATCACAATAACATAGCTCTACATTTAAAGACAGCATTATGCATGTATAATGCTTGGTGCAACGATTTATTGATTTTCTTTCGTACCTGTAGGCATGGATTTAATTCTTCTGTTTACGGTTTTTATGAATGCAATACAGTGTAACCTGCTAGACATATGGATAAGCTACGAAAGTTACGGAGGAACCCGCTGCCTCCTTCTTCACAGCATCTAACCTGAAACGTTGGCATCCACCTACCAGACTACACTGTGTCACATCTCAGGAGATCGTAATCTTCATATTCACGGCCGTGAAAAACTCAAATGTCTAGGCACTCTCACATCATTTTTTTTTATTGCTGGTGGGGTGGGACTAAGTCCTTTGTACTGCGGCCACTTCTGGCCTATTGTACCAGCCCCAGATGATAGGTGATTGTGGAGCAATGGGTGGAATGAAGATTGGCAGGGGAAATCGAAGTACTCGGAGAAAACCTGCCCCAGCGCCACTTTGTCCACCACAAATCTCACTTGACCAGACACGGGATCGAACCCGGGCCGCCGCGGTGGGAAGCCAGCGACTAACCGCTTGAGCTATGGCGCAGCCTACTCTCACATCATACGGTATATACAAATGATGAGAATTACAGGTAAGTCTCGTCCCATAAAATTAGTTCACTGCACATAATCACCGGTATCTCAGTTTGTAGAAATCAACTCATCGACTTAATTAGCATTTGATACTAATACTACTCTGATTCTACGGTTATACTTCGATACATTTCAAACCAACTTTCAAAAATTACTGAAGAGCTGCGCAGTTTTCAAACACTAAACCCACAGTAAATGGAAATAAAGTTTACCTGCACTTGGCAACACTTCCATGATGCACAAAATTAATCTACGGTGAACGTGTAACAGCTTATTATTCCGTTTGATTTCTACAAAATATAACAACCCGACATCCACTTCCAATTATATCGATTTCAAAATACACCTAAAACGCCTTTCCTTCTGGCCAAGGTCTGTACGGTCTGTACGAAGCACTGCGGAACTGGGAACCGTTTTAGCCAAGCAGTACGCTCTAACGCGGCAGCCTACAACTGACTTCCCAACTTCCGAGTCCCCACTGAATGCGTGCTTGTTGCGTTTCATGTGGCTGGCTCAGCTCGGCCGCTAGCACTGTTGTCGGCCATGCCACATACACAATGGCAGCACTCCAACAAAATCATCAACATGACCTTCGGAATCACAGACTGCTAGGGATTATATACCATATATTTTGTAAGTCATGAGATAAAATTATATAAAGTGAGGGCTCCAAACGCAAATAAAGTAAGATGGATTAGTGTGACAACGTTAAAGGCGAAGAAAGCAGTCTTCTGCGAAGTGGCGCCGTGTAGATATTGTGTTAACCGACGTTTCGGAGGAACGTATCGCCTCCACCTTCGCCTCCTCGATCGCGGATTTTATTCTTTTTTCTTCTACCCTGAAATTGGAGGCGATACGTTCCTCCGAAACGTCGGTTAACACAATATCAACACGGCGCCACATCCCAGAAGACTGCTTTCTTCATGGTCACCGCCGTGAAAACCTCAAATCTTACAACATTAAAGGTGTTCATGTATTTCTTACGGTAATGGTGATTAACTGACAACTATGAATAGTAACGCTCATATTTCCACTTGATGAATCTGTATAATTGCTGGTCATTATTCAAAACAGCAGGATTATTCACTTCTACCCTGGAGTATTCAATGCGTTACAAATTAACAAGCCCTTAATAATTAGTGGAAATATTTTCTGCCCAAAACGCTTCCTTCCGAAGTGAGACGGGAAGTCTCATGGAGGTAGGCAAAGGCCCAAAATGGGGCTGTAGCGCCGAAGAAGGTAAAAAAAAAAGCTTCCTTACAAAAAAAAAATATATATATCAAATGCACGTGGAGGTCCTGTCCTCTGTCCCTCGTTTCTTACTGCCTCACGCAGTATATGGTAAAGTATTGTGACGGTGAAAAACTTCGATCATGAGAACTTGCCGGATTTACACGTTTTCTGTCGCCATGAATAGGAATATGTGATGTTTAGAATGCCGCATGTCCGTCCGTCCATCCATCCATCCGTCCGTCTTCTATGTCTGTACGTATGGATGCATGAGTGGATGCGTGCCTCGCTGGCGCCTGAACGGTTGGACGGACCTTATTCATATTCGGCATTCAAAAGTTTATCCACCTTAGGCCGGTGCCCGGTGAACCTGGGTATCCAAACTCCAAAAACTGATGCCCTTTAGACGGGCTCCGAAACAGAAAACGGCTGCGACTTTCGGTATTTTATGGAGGCCATCTTGATAAATAAAACTACATAAGTGGCATCACAGAAAAATTACGGTATGCGCACTAGGGGTGCAAGCGCAAAATGCCAACTTGCTGTAAACCGGCTTCAACGGTCAGGCAGATTTAATGGTAGTTCGGTATCCAGTACCCAACAATGGTCTACCGAGCAACAATCGAGTTCCTTTCCCAGGTAACGCAGTCAAGGTCACTCGTATATGAGAAGGTATGCATGCATGGCTTTTCACCAGTTTTTGGATAGTCGAGAAACTTTAATGAAATAAGATACAGATGATAATATGAAGTCTGATAAAACAAGGTATGGACTATTTCGGACAACTGAGGTTCATTATTTTCTGAGAATAATACATGTACTTTAGAACAGAGTCCAGCGATGAATTATGGTATTACTAACGTTTCTGATGGATTAGTTCACGATACTCTCAGAAACTAAACTTAAAGCGCCGTACAGCAAGATGACAGAAGAATGATGAATTGCAATTGGTTTGGAAGGAAGAGGTCGTGTCAATACCGACGTAATATCTCGGCATTTGCTTGAAGAAACTGTATAAAACCATAAAAAACTGTCAGGGTAGCCAGTGACCCGATCGAGATTCGAATCGGGCACCTACCAAACATGAGTTTGGAGAGTTACCGTTAGGCCAGACCGTTCGGTTGTAACTAATGCTGATGAACTTCGATGTAATAAATAGTGACATAAAAATCAATACTGAACCCAAACAAATGTTCTATTTTGAACTACAGACTCAATCATATTAACTGGTAATGGTGATGACCTAATAAAATACTTCCGGACGGAAGAAAAGACACAGAAACATCCCAAATTAACAGGGTGTATGTACCTCGTCATGAAATTACTAACGATTACGTTATGATTCAGAGTACGAAAGTCTACGGCTGACTAATGATAATTTTCTTCAGCTCTTCCAGATTAATCCCGGCCAGGAAATACGAACATTTGATCCACATCTCACCACATGACCAATCATGATCATCTGTGGTATCCGCAAGTCTTGAAAATGTGGGACTAAAACTATCTAAATAAAACAAACGCTTTCTCGTTGCAGGCCTTCACTACTCTATGATGCGTCTTCATGAAACGTGACTGGACTGTTACGAGTATTAAGAGTTCCTAATTTAAAAATCATCTCAGATGGCACAAGATGTGTACTGACTCTCACAAGGCTCGATAACTGAGTACTTAGACCAGTGCAACGTCGAACAGTACCCCTTATCAGAAGTATATGTTGTACCCGTCCCTCCTTTCTTTTCGCCTGCGGCTCCGTCAGAATGGTCGTGCAGGGAGTGGCAGTCGATGGCGATCGGCCCCTCTGCTCTGCTCCGATGACCATTTTGACTCAGCCCGACCTGGTGTTGCAGCTGCTGAAGTTGCTAGGTCGTAGCTGGTTTAGACTTGACCCGCCTCCACCGCTTCTGGCTCCACAGCTTCTTCCTTCAGTTGTGGTGATTAGTGGTTGGATTTCAAGACTGGATCCGATAACATGGGCGCCAGCAAACAGCTAGAGGCCGTTTACGATTCGATAGTAAGTGGTGAAGGGGTGGGCATGTGGAAACTGACGGTGGGTTTGACTAGCTAGATGGTGATGAGCCTCTCTTCAGGTCGAATACGGGTCAGGCTTGGAAAAGTGAGGGTGAAACACCTCTGACCAACACAATGCACTTTACACCACAACACTTTATTTCTGTTCCTGCGATTAACATGATATAACTTTCATCACTGCCATCAGACTTGATACTCTGGACTTAGGCACTTTGTGAAATAGCTATTGGTGACGTGACTGACTGCACTCTTAGCGGGTATGGTTGGAGCTGCGAAGTATAGCTTCTTACTTCCTAACGACACTTGGCTGCTTAAATTCTTACAACCTGATTTAGTTTCGGCTGACAATCCGCGGGTGTTACACTTCCACTAAAGTGGACTTGATCAGCTCGCCAAATTCCTTGTTGCCGCGCTCTTGTTGATTAAGCTAAGTCTCGCTGGCTCTGCCTGCGATTATGAGTCGTTATGAGAGCAAAAATTTTGGACTTAGGATAATTCTCAGAATTATCTTTTTGCGTGAGTGATGCGGGGTTTGCCTCCACTAATTTCAAAAGTTGCTAGACGACTAAACTCTTGGACTGACCTCTCTGCTGAGCCAGAGGCCCTAACTGATTTGTATCTGCCTATTCTCCTTTCCTCCTAATTTCTCTGATAGGCCGATTCAAATAAGAGGAGTTGGCTTAATTTTGGTACCGGCCAATGACAGGCTATTTTTAAGGAAATTTCGCCCTAAAAGACAAAACGGCGAAAGTGATAGCGATGCAACATACGAGGGGTCGCGAATGATCTCTTGGCACTCCTATCTTTGACGTACGGCTGGTAGAAACTGTCACCTCTCGAATTCTCAAAGTGTTTTGTCGTTGTAGTTCCACTTCTACATTGCTAAAGAATCTCAGTGGGGTTTCTTGAAGTATCACTTTCTGCCCTTTTTGGAAAATAATATCAGATGCTCGGACGTAAGGACCAGCAGACGTCCTTGTCCGCGCAAGCTTGGTCTATCTGCTCATCGCATATTCATTGTTCTTACAAGATGTCTTAATTAAACATTTGTTTTTTCGTAATTTCTTATTATTAAACACAATTAGCTACTGCAAAAAATGGAGGGGGGAAGGATTTCGATGGTGCGGTTACAATGTGACGGGTTTACGCACGATATTTCGGGACTAAGAGCCAACACAGCAGAAACATGAAGCACAGGATTATGTTAAGGTATTCTGGGGATATTCTGATATTAAGATATTCTGCAGCGGACACTAAAAAGTGATATGCCTACAGGTTAGAAATCAATGGTCATTCAATAACACTTCTAAACATCAGTAAATACATCCGTCACACAGCGAACCGGCCCACATGGACAGACGTCCTCCCCTGACAGTCACGTAAATGAATGCTGCAGTTGTCAACGGGACTGTCCATGCATTGTCACATCGACAGTATTTCTGTTGGATAGTCTTACTCTCGAATAAATCACATATGACCACATGCTTTGATTTACATCTGAACAAGATATATTTGTATGTTTCCACACATTCAATGTTACAGAACGCCGGAACGCCACGTGTGAAGAGCTATCAGTAAACATGATTGTTATAGACAACTTGTCGGACTGCTGGTAGCATTACATGGGCGAGGAACTTTATCCCGCACAATAAACAGAGAGCATATGGAGAACCCGGGTACTCAGATAAATACTTGGACCTGTGACGCAGGAAGTAACTGGCTTCCGAAAACTGCGTAATGAAGAACTTCATAATTTATAGGGTCAACCCGTCACCAAATATTATTTCAGTGAGGCAGCCTGTAGCTGCCGATCACAGCGGCCGCGCGGTCGCACGCTCGAACACTGGGATCGTGGGTTCGAATCTCGCACGAGGCATGGATGTCTGTGTGTAGGTAGCGGCCTTGCGACGGGCTGATCTCCCGTCCAAAGAGTCGTACCAATTGTGTATGGAATAAGAAACTGAAACAGCGGCCAAGGTTCACAGGGGCTGTAGAGCCACAGATATATAGATACCACGTAAATAGCATGTAGTTCATTTGGGCCATCACATCATGGTTGATAAGACGAGCAGACAGAACGCCCGAAAGGGATGACAAATAGGCCAACATAAAAATATTAAACTGAAAACATGACGGGGATATCCGATTTGCGAATTACAGAAGGGAAGATACACACAAAGAGTGAAGATGTGGAACGGACTGAACTGGTTCAGAATAGGGTTCAGTGGAGGGCTCTTGTGAACATGG